AGGTATAGTGAATGAAGTGACCAGCGAGTGTAAATTTAAAACCATGCAATTCCCCGTTTTTAACAATTGAACTTGCAAATGGATAATAAGTAGACTTTATTATGACTTAAGATTAGATTTCACCGGTGCTTGTTTCTCCCAGTGTATACCTGGAACTCCTGTTCCAGTTTCTTCTCAATCCACTCTGTTACATGCCCCAGCGTCACCTCCCTTTCACCGAGTTTGGGCCGTGCTTTGAGCTCCAGATGAGGCGGACTCCGAAAACCATACCTGCCAGCCAAAAGGAGAAGTTTGTGATAATCGTGTTGAATTTTCAGACCAGCTTCATGAAACAGATGTCGACTGATGGGTTTTTCCTTAAATGACTGCTTCATTTCAATTAAAAAAAAAAATACATATTAGCAGTATTTAAGGAGGAAAAGGGTTAAAAACATGGAGGAAAACATGCAAAACATATATAGCATGCAACAGAAACAGATTTTTCTATGTTGTTATTTTTCTTAGCACCTATTTAGTGGCGCAAATAAAGAAGTTCGTATTAATTAAGCCAAACATAAATCAGTGTGTATTTAAGGCTTCAATGTTCCACATCTTTAATGGAAAACACACCTTTGTGCCCTCATTTCTTAGATGTGATTAAACATTTTTATTCTCTCATCACTTGCTTGTCTTGTTTTTTTTGCCCAGCAGAGGGTGCAGTGCTATAATCTCAAGCCATTCACATAGATTGTGACACACCAACTTCATCCTGCAATTTTCCATATCCTCCTAAACATACCATATCCTGTCTGTGGGGGGAGGTGGGATGTTGACAGCCAGAGTCCCGCGGCACTCTTGCACCTCTACGGTGAGCAACAAGGGCGTGTTGGATACTTCCTCCATCTTCTTCTTGATGAACTCCGTCTCTGTGGCTTTCTGGAAGTACTTCGACTTGGCTATCTTGTCCACAAAGCGCATGATCTTGCTGGGTCTGTGGCCTCCCACATAACTACGCGAGTCGATGATGGAAACAGAGGAGGAGGGGAGACAAGGAGTGAGTCAGGTTCATAATTAATTCATAACGGCATCTCTTGCTACTCAGCACCCACTATCGAGGGGCTATGTGTGCAAGTGACCGGGTGCTACATTAAATCATCAGCGAGCTTTCAAATATGTATGTCTGAGTGGGTGGCTGGTTGGATAGAAAAAGGAAAAATGTTCTGTTTCGGAACCTCAGTACGAATGTTATTCTGCTCATTTTCAATTCAGAGGTGTACTAATGTTGTTAGAAAGAGACATTTGCTCACCCCTCTGCTCCAGGCAGAACAGGTTTGTCACTGAGGAGTTCTGGAGGATCCTCCTCGTCTGATGAACCGGCACTAGACGATTCCTCGTCACTGTCTGCCAGGCAGTATGTCCGTGGCCTTGACCTGTCACGCACACATAAACAAGCACTCATGTTGCAAAGTCAGGCCCCAGTGGTTTTGCAAAGAGCCCTTATCAATCACTATTAATTCCCATTAAATGTATCCCAGGAACTACTTCTCCACCGATCTCACTCAAAAAAAGATCCAATAACTAGAATGGGTAACAAAATGTATTGTTTCAGGGACAGCGACTGTAGGCATCCAATTCCCAAACTCGCCAGTTTACTGGACAAATCCATAGCGGTAAGCATCCACAGGAAGGATTAGTATATAACGAGAGGGAGGGAAGAGGCAACACGACAAAAGGGGAGGAACTGTGAAAAACACATGTGACAACTAATATGGCTCTAAAAATGCAAATGCACCCGATTACCATCCGACTCAGAGCTGGTTTTCTTTAGCAGAAAATCGAATCCTTCACACATTTTATTTTGGCACTGTCACTGAGAATGAGACAATAAGAAAAAAAACACAAACACGGAGGAATCAGGACAAGCTGTGGAGGACGACTCTAAAATCTGGAAGCCTTCTTAAAAACAAAATAAAATCAGACCGAGCTTCACTTAGCTCCATTATTCTGCTTAAAAGAAGAAATGCACTTTTAAAGCCTCACCAATCTTTCCCTTGTTCTCCAAGGCCCTCGCCCTCCTTTCCCAAACGGGCCAAGTTCATCTTGGTCTCCAGCGTCATGAGGAAAGAGCCCGTGTAGGAGACCTCCAGATCAAACCACAAACCTGAGAAAAAAAAACATAAAGACTTATAATGTTTTTTATACCAAACCCATGCCTGCTGACATCCTCGTCAATAGCATGAGGAAAATCAATAACAACCTAATGATTTGTGTTTAATTGTTGCAAGGTTAACTTAAGTGCTCATCTACCTAAAAAAAAAAAAAAAAAAAAAAAAAAAGGGTCACCTATCAGGAAGCAGTTCTTTATTAAGCTACTTCCTGTTTACACGTCCCACTCCTCAGCGGGCGGCAGGAGAATTATTCAGATTACGATCCCCCTGCTGTTTGCACAGTGAACGTCTGCAGCCGGTAACTGACGTTTATTATCCCCTCTGTCTGTCCCCCTCCCTTCTCTTCACTTTCCCTCTCCCTGTAAATGCTCATTGATTCGTACAGTCTGTGTGACAGCAGTGCCAGAGAGAAGCTACATGACAGCAGCAAGGCACATCATGGAAGACAGTGTCTCATTGTCTAGCACGAGACAAACAGCAGGAAGAGACCGTCTGGATTTTCTCATTAAATTTGAAGGAGCCAACACATCTCTACCACAGACAGATGTAGAACCGGGAAACATATCACAGCAATCCTGCATTAGATATTCCTTTAAATTGCTCTCATTGTCATACATATAGTGTGGTGAATTTGCCTCCACATTAATAATTTCCATTTGTGCAGCATGTGCATGACCAAGCAACTGCAAAAGTGACGCTTCAGCCCGACTCTCCTCTCAGCTAATTATGAAATGTTTGCATGCTAAAATGGTTAAAACGGTTCTGTGCATACACTAACGTCAATAATGTTATACCCACTTGTTTCTTATAAGCCTCTAGCTCATTTTCACATCTTTGCACAACTGACAAACATCAAAGTTTGTGTGTATTGTGCGATTATCGAAGCACAGTGTAAACATTGTCAATCAAGCCATGTCTCCCCATAAATAAGGCATTGAGAAGCTGCCTTTCCCTCAATTTTACCATCATCACAAGAGAAGAAATCACAAGCGTGTTCAGTTCATGCAGGATGAAAGCGCACATTTCATCATCGGCTAATGATGCTTTGTTAGTATATATCTGAGGATGTATAGGTTCAGACAGAACACATTTGTGAGCTGCAGCTCCAACAACTGAACAACAAGAATCTTTAGACCTAAGATCAAGAAAAGCTGAATGTTCTTAATCTGAAATTGATAAACAAAAATTTAAATACAGCGGCTCCTCATGACATTTACATTCACTGGACATTTTATGAGGTACACCTTGCTAGTTGGACCCCCTTTTGCCTTCAGAAGGGTCTTAATTCTTCATGAGACAGATTCGAAAAGGTGCTGGAAACATTCCTCACAGATTTTGGTTTCAAAGGTGCTCTAGAGATCTTGAGCTCTCGTGACTGTGGAGGCCATTTGAATCCAGTGAAGTCTTCAGCATTCAACATTTTTCTTCTGTTGTCCAATTTTGGTGAGCTCATGTCAATTATAGCCTTAGCTTCAGCAGGTCATCTTGACCATGTCTACATGCTTAAATGTACTAAGTTGCTGCCATGTCATTGGCTAATGAGCAGTGTTGGGAAGGTTACTTTTAAAATGTATTCCATTACAGAATACATGCCCCAAAATGTATTCTGTAACGTATTCCGTTACGTTACTCAATGAGAGTAACGTATTCTGAATACTTTGGATTAC